AGTTTTTTAATAAAATTTGTTGAGATATTTTTGAAAGAGTATCTTATATGAGAGAGTATCTCATTTGAGATATCCATAAAAGACTCACTCTTTCCTAAAAATTTTGACACTTGTCAATTTATAATTGTTTCTCATTTCTTGTTCATAGATTATATTCTTTTTTCTTTTTTTTTGTCACAAAAATTATATTCTTTATAGTTTAGAATATTGATGAAAATATTTATATATTGTTATTTTTTATTTTTTATTTTTTATAAATCATAAAATAAAATTATCTATATATCAAGCTCTATTATACATAAATATTAGGGGTAATTACAAAAATGTCATTTTTTGTGTGCACATTTGCAAGAATATCACTTAGGGGTATCCATTTACAAAAATGCCACTAATTATAGATTTATAAAGCCTATATCTTAAAATTCTAAACCATAAAAAATGTTTTGACACCTAAAACCCTCAAACACTCAAAGCTAAACCCTAATAGAGCATAATTAACCCAAACATAAATAATATAAAAAAAAAARATTTTGAAAAAGTGGTATTTTTGTAAAGATTTCAAAAGTGTTGCATTTTTGTCAAGTGGCACTTGAAAAGTGACATTTTTTGAAATTTCTCTAAATATTAACATTGTTATTAATTGATATTATTTAAAGTTAATATGGAATATTAAATTAATATTTTTTTAGTTTATATATAAAATAATATATTATTAAAAATGAGATATTAAAATATTTAATATAATTTTTTATTGATTTTACATAAGACTAATACCAAATAGAAAATTAATATTGTTTTAGTTAATACAATGTTACAATATTTAATAAAAACTAGGATTTTAAAATTAAAAATTATATTTTAAAATGTAATATGATATGTTTAAAATTATTGATGAAAATTTAACATAAAATTTTTAAGTTAATCATATTAAAAAATTAATATTTTATAGATAAGAGGTATCTAATTAATGGAATTGATAGTAAGTAGTGAGTTTCTCAATTTAAAGTATTATAAAAATATGGAGAAATTGCAAAAATGCCATTTTTTATGTGTACATTTGTAAAAATGTCACTTAGGGATGTTCATTTGCAAAAATGTCACTAATCATAGATTTTTAAACCATATATCTCAAAATTATAAACATTAAAAAATGTTTTGATCCTTAAATCTCCCTAAATCCTCATAATTAAACCC